TACTTCCTGTGATGCTGCTGGAACTGGGTCTCTAACCTTTAGAGGACCAAACTTTTTCAAAGGATTTGACATTCCCACTAGCACTCCATGAGGGTTCCACTAGCACTGGACTTTTTTATGATAGCTATCCTAATTAGGGTGAAGTGATGTCTTCTGATCTTGATTTACACTTGTCAAGTGACTAAGGATGTTCCTCCTCTATTTTGGATGTTTATTGGCCATTTGCGTGTGTTCTTCTGAGTACAGTCTACTCAGATATTTTGCCCATTTTTATATTGGGTTGCCTTTGAGTTGCAAGAGTTCTTTGTATATTTTGGTGACAAGTCCCTGTTACATCTATGATTTTCACCCATTCTGGGATTTTCACTGTCTTGATGGTATTATTTGAAACACAAGTGTCTTAGTTTAGATCAAGATTGTATTAATGTTGAGAAATCATTTCATGTTACTTTTTCATAATTAGCTTTCTCATTCTCAGCTTGTTTCTATTAGGTTATTGGGAAAGTCATGACATATTTTTCTGTTTCTATACAAAAATGTGTCATGACCTCCCCCCAACAACCCAATATTTGTAAAGAATCATTCTTACTAATGTAGTACTTTCCCATTTTCTATTAAATACAGGTTTGGTTTTGTTTGTTGATAGAGGGCATATACACTGAGAGAGAGAAGGAGAGAGAAAAGGAAAGTGAGAAATTCCTCTTCCACACTCCCATGGGGGATGACTATGTTTCAGTCACTTCTCCATTTCTTGTTTGGGATTGTGACACGCATGCATGCACCTGGTATGCTTTTTAAACTGCTGGGTCCAGGACTCGAACCACATAGTTGGCCATGTGGGATCCAGCTGCTTTAACCACCACACCACTGGCTGGCCCTAACATAGTACTTCTTTAACACGTTAAAAGCTGGGACCAGCAGTTAGCATAATGGCTATATCGCTGGACTCCCACGTAGTCGACCACAGTTCTAGTCCCGGACCCAGTGGCTTACACTCACGCCGGGCGTGTGTGTGTGCGTGCCCAAGATCCCAAGAGGAGAACGGAGGAGAAGGGATTGCGGCGTGGCCATCCCCTCTGGGGGGGTGATTTCTTGGTTTCTATCTCTCTGTCTCTGTCTGTCTGGCTAACGCTTGCACCCTATAGCAAAAACCTCTCCAAAAAAAGAAAGGAAACAGGTACCCACAGCAGGGGCTCCTCAAACCTCGATCCTCTCCCATAGTCTTTCTTTTTTTATTTTCAGAGAGAGACTTTTGCTATAGTGCACAGGCACTCTTTGGAGAGACAGAGATAAAGAACAAGAAATCATCTCCCTGAGGGATTGGCCATGCTGCAATCCCTTCTCCTCTCAGGATCTTGGGCATGCATGCACACAACGTCCAGCGTGAGTTTGAAGCCACTAGGTCTGGGACTCGAACTGCAGTCGACTACATGGGAGTCCAGTGACATAACCATTACACCATCTGTTGGTCCCACTCCCATAGTCTTCTAGCCAGTTAGGATCATGGGCTTGGGAAACCATCCTGAATCCAAACCGTATTGCTCCAGTATGGCAGAGCAGTATACTACTTCCTGTGATGCTGCTGGAACTGGGTCTCTAACCTTTAGAGGACCAAACTTTTTCAAAGGATTTGACATTCCCACTAGCACTCCATGAGGGTTCCACTAGCACTGGACTTTTTTATGATAGCTATCCTAATCAGGGTGAAGTGATGTCTTCTGATCTTGATTTACACTTGTCAAGTGACTAAGGATGTTCCTCCTCTATTTTGGATGTTTATTGGCCATTTGCGTGTGTTCTTCTGAGTACAGTCTACTCAGATATTTTGCCCATTTTTATATTGGGTTGCCTTTGAGTTGCAAGAGTTCTTTGTATATTTTGGTGACAAGTCCCTGTTACATCTATGATTTTCACCCATTCTGGGATTTTCACTGTCTTGATGGTATTATTTGAAACACAAGTGTCTTAGTTTAGATCAAGATTGTATTAATGTTGAGAAATCATTTCATGTTACTTTTTCATAATTAGCTTTCTCATTCTCAGCTTGTTTCTATTAGGTTATTGGGAAAGTCATGACATATTTTTCTGTTTCTATACAAAAATGTGTCATGACCTCCCCCCAACAACCCAATATTTGTAAAGAATCATTCTTACTAATGTAGTACTTTCCCATTTTCTATTAAATACAGGTTTGGTTTTGTTTGTTGATAGAGGGCATATACACTGAGAGAGAGAAGGAGAGAGAAAAGGAAAGTGAGAAATTCCTCTTCCACACTCCCATGGGGGATGACTATGTTTCAGTCACTTCTCCATTTCTTGTTTGGGATTGTGACACGCATGCATGCACCTGGTATGCTTTTTAAACTGCTGGGTCCAGGACTCGAACCACATAGTTGGCCATGTGGGATCCAGCTGCTTTAACCACCACACCACTGGCTGGCCCTAACATAGTACTTCTTTAACACGTTAAAAGCTGGGACCAGCAGTTAGCATAATGGCTATATCGCTGGACTCCCACGTAGTCGACCACAGTTCTAGTCCCGGACCCAGTGGCTTACACTCACGCCGGGCGTGTGTGTGTGCGTGCCCAAGATCCCAAGAGGAGAACGGAGGAGAAGGGATTGCGGCGTGGCCATCCCCTCTGGGGGGGTGATTTCTTGGTTTCTATCTCTCTGTCTCTGTCTGTCTGGCTAACGCTTGCACCCTATAGCAAAAACCTCTCCAAAAAAAGAAAGAAAGAAAAAAAAACATGTTAAAAGCTTTTCTTTGGGATAGAGAAGGAGAGGTACTCCCTATAGGGGCCTCATGCTATGATCTGACACGGGTGAACACACCTAGCATGTCCAGAGAGACCTCAGGAACAGAACCCTGAACATTTCCCATGTGAGTCCAGTTGTGCCACTCCCATACCACCACCCAGACCCTCTTTTTTACTTTTTAATCAGTCTGACTTAAAACTAAAATTACTGAGGTAAAGTAGAAATCCACAGATTCCTAGAAGTAAGTGTCAGTGTGTATCATTTCTGATATTTCTATGCATTTACAAAATGGGCCCCTGCTGTACATTTGGTTCTGAAATGTGTTTAACCATGTTTTGAAATCTCTATGTACTTCTATCTATACACTTCATGTACTCTATCTGGCCTCCTTAACTAGTGTACAGGGTTCTATGATGTGAATGTCCTACAGATTATTTATTCATCTCTCTACTGATAAGCTTCAGGGTCATTTCTTGTTTTTTCACTTATTAAAAACAATCCTGGGGAGCCAGCAGGTGGTATGGTGGTTGAGGATGCTGGACTCCCACGTGTCTGACCGCGGTTCAAGTCCCAGACCTGGCAGCTTTCTTTCTCACTTTCCCTCTTTCTCTCTGGTCAAATTAAAAATAAATAAATTGGAACCAGCAGCTTGCACAGTGGTTAAGGCATTGGACACTCGCACATGGCCAACCATGGTTTGAGTCTGAGACCTGATAGCTTGCTTTTCCACTTTCCCCTTTTCTCTCTTTGGTCAAATTAAAATAAATGAATGAATGAATAAATAATTATTTAAAATAAAGAAATAACTTGTCTTTATCTAAGAGGAGTAATGTAGAAGCAATGTGGCTGATTGAAGAACTTTTCATTGCTAACAGATACTGCCTTGTTGCCTTATAAAATACTGTACACTTACATTTTTATCAATAGCATTTTTTTTATCAATAGCATATTAATGTACTTACTTGTCTATACTCTAGTCCACACTTAATAATGTAATTAACTTTTGAGGAAAATAAATCAATAAATTGAACAGTTTTTCACATGTTAATTATACTTCTAAATTGCTTATTCATCTCCTTAGCTAATTTTTCTAAAAGGTTCTTACATTTTTTAAGGATTATTTTATTAAGTTTATTTATTTTATTTTAATTTCACCAGAGAGGGCCAGAGTGAGAGAGAGAGAGAAAGAGAGAGTGAGAAAGCAAGCCATCAGGTCTGGGATTCAGACCACAATCAGCCATGTAGAAATCTGATGCCCTTAACCACTACTCCTCCACCTTACATTCTTAACAAGTTATAGGAGCTCTTTACCAGTTAATCCTTTATAATATATATTGCAAGTACTTTATGGTTACTTGTCTTTTTATTCTGTTATGGGAATTTTAATTGTTATGATTTGAAATAAGTTTTATTTTTATAAGACTTCTAGGATTTTTGTCATGTTAGGAAGGCCTTATAGAGAGTAAGAGAGAGAAATAAAAACTTAAAGTTTTTTCCTTCTAAAAACTTTAAGAGACCAGCAGTTAGCATAATAGCTATGTTGCTGGACTCCCGTGTAGTCAACCACTGTTCAAGTTCTGGACCCGTGTTTTGGTGACATCCCAAATATTCTGATATTGAAAACTGAATTTTTGGGTTGGTCCCACAATGCAGACAGAGCCAGATTTCACATGGCTCCCCCCAGTTCAAATTCTGACCCCAGTGGTTTGCAAAACACTCCAAGTCGTGTGTGCTTGTGTGTGCCCAGAATACTGACAAGATGGAGAAATGGAGCAAAAAGGATTGTGGTATAACTAGGCCTCATGGAGGAGAGCACCCTCTCTCTGTGTCTCTGGAAAACAAACAAACAAACAAAAATACTCATTTAAAAAAAGAAAGCTGAATTTTTAAACTGTGAGGACAGTAGGGGTACCTAATTCCTTGCACTATTTTCTGTAGGTGAAAATTGAGGCCAAAAAGTTCGGTTTCTCAGGCAGTCACAGAGTTCATGGCAGGTCAAGGACTAGATTCTAGGGTTTTTTCTTTGATTCAAGTGCCCTTTATACCAGACATCTTAAGGGACACAGACAGGTGCCTTATTTGTACAGTTGTGCTGGAAATCCTGCTTTTTATATGTGGGAAGAAAAAAACATAAAGGTTTTTTTTATTGTGATGAACTATTTGTATTTAGTTTTGCAGAGTAATATATGTGCCTAAAATTAGGCCTTTCTGTTTTCAGTCCTAAAAATTCATATACTTTTACTTTTACCCTAACAGTAGCAGCCGTTCTTCAAAAACATTCAAGCCAAAGAAGAATATCCCTGAAGGGTCTCATCAGTATGAGCTCTTAAAACACGCAGAAGCAACTCTAGGAAGTGGAAATCTGAGACAAGCTGTTATGCTGCCAGAGGGAGAGGACCTCAATGAATGGATTGCTGTGAACAGTAAGTTTATAATAACATTCAGCTTTGCTTGTCTAGTCGCTGAAATCTTTATGTTGATGAACCTTCTTTTACAGGTAGAACTGGAAACTATTATAACAAGTTATCTGTAAAGAAACCGATCCATTGGTACCAGCAGTTAGCGTAATGGCTATGTTGCTGGACTCCCACGTAGTGACCGCAATTCACGTCCCGGACCCGGTTGCTTAAACTCACGCCGGGCGCATGTGCGTGCGTGCCCAAGATCCCGAGAGGAGAATGGAGGAGAAGGGATTGCAGTGTGACCATCCACCCTGGGGGGTGATTTTTCTCTTTCTGTCTCTCTGTCTCTCTCTTTCTGGCGAGCGCACATGCCCTATTGCAAAAACCTCTCAAAAAAAGAAAGAAAAGAAAAGAAAAGAAAAGAAAAGAAAAGAAAAGAAAGAAAGAAAGAAAGAAAGAAAGAGAAACCCATCCATCGAAAACTGTTCTCAGATTAGTTGGTGGCTTGTGGGGTTGAGTAGAAAGACCTGAGAAGCAATGAGAGCTTTGGGGAAATTTCTGAATATGGTCAAAGATTGATAAATGCACTGATTCTACCTGTGGTGGACCATGACTTTATAGGAAATCCATCTGTACAGTTTTGTCCACACTCCCAGTCAACAGAAAAGTCAATTGCAGTTCATAAGGTCATTCAGTTGATTGTTGTGACCTATGAGTAGTCAGAAGGAAATTGGGAGAAAATGGAGTGATCCAAGGGCTGAAAGCCACTCTGAGGTCAAGAGAACGAGGGCATGACATGGACTGATATATGCTGAGGCCAGAGATTTGAATATGAGAGTCTGTAATTTTTTTTAAAGAATTATTTTATTTAACCTTATTTATTTATTTTTATTTGACCAGAGAGGGACAGCGTGAGAGGGAGAAAGTGAGAAAGCAAGGCTGCCAGGTCTGGAACTTGAACCTCATTCGGCCATGTGGGAATCCAGTGCCCTGAACCATACCATCTGCCGGCCCCAAGAGAGTCTATAATTTCTAAGATAATATCAGATTCAGGTGTTAACTTTTAAATCTTAGTAGTTTTGACTGTTCCAGAAATTTTAAGCACATTCTCTCTTTATTTAATTGCTAGAGGGTGCATGTACTTGTCAGAGAGAGGCAAGGGAAGCACCCCCAATGGGGCATAGTCATGCCAGAGTCTCTTCTGTTTCTCTGTCTTGTCAGGATTTGGGGCACACACATACACATGTCTTATGTGTTTCATGCTGCTGGAGCTGGTATTCCAAGTCCTAGACCTTGTGGCCATGTAGGAAGTTGGCTATGTGGGATCTTGTTCCCTTAACTTCTAGTCTATGGGCTGTCCCTTAAAGACCTTTCAGTGCAGGACCAGCAGATGGCATAATGGTTAAGTTGCTGGACTCTCACATGGCGGACTGTGGTTTGAATCCTGGACCCAGTGGCTTGAAACTCAAGCTGGTGCATGTGTATGCAAACCAGGATCCTGGCAGGAGAATGGAGGAAAAGGGATGTGGCCATCCCCCTCCAGGAGATGATTTCTTGCTTTCCCTCTCACTGTCTCTTTCTCTCTCCATCAAGCACTCGCACCCTAAAGACAAAAACCCTCTTCAAACAAACTTTCAGTTGGATTTTTCTAACATAAGTAGAGAAATTAGAAGAATGAATTTCTCAGGTATCCATTATCCAACTTCAGCAATCCCAATGGATGGCCAGTTATGCTTCTGCATCCTACCTTGATTATTTTGAAGTAAATCTAAGACATGTTATTTTACCTGTAGATCTTTCACAAAGTATATTAAAACATAAGAACTCATCTTAAAGATAATAATACCATCATCCTTTAATATCCGGTCTATGCTACATTTTCCCCATCCTATACATTTTTTGTTTGTTTGTTTTAATTTATGCTTGGTTTAAAACAGGATCCAGCAAGGCCTATATGTATATTTCTTGAATCTCTTAAACCACAGGTTTCCCCTCATTGCAGTCTTTTATCCTTGCCATTTTTGTTGTTGTTGAAGAAAGCAAGTCTTTTTTTCCCCACAGCATGAATCTAGCTGGTTGTACCCCAAGTCATCCATTAGTATGTCCGATTCTTCCCTTTTCTTTTTTTTTCCTGTTCTTTATTTCCTGTAAACATTAGCTATAGAGCAGTACTGTCCAGTAGAACTTTCCATGATGAAGAAAATGCTGTGTACCATCTCTGTGGTCATTTAGTATTTGAAATGTGGCTAGAGTGACTGGGGAACTGTATTTTAAATTTAATTAAATTTTAATATAAGTAGTTATTTGTGGTTGTTGGCTACCATGTTAGTGCAGACTTGTACCTTGATCAAATTCAAGTTTGATTTTGTTTTCCCATAAGACTACTTTATAAATGATGGGATATATTTCCATGGTGCCTAGTTGTTATTTTTCTTTTTTTATAATCACCCAAAGCCTGTGGTTTACATTAGAGTTTATTGTTGGTGTTGTATATTCTGTTGTTTGGACAAATTTATAATGACGTGTCCACCACTATAATATTGTCATAGAGTCGTTTCGCTGTCCTAAAAATTCTCTTTTTTCTGCCTGTTCATTCCTCTCCCTCCTCTGTGCTCTGGGAACCACTGCTCTTTTTTTTTTAATAATTATTATATTAATTAATTAATTATTATTCTTCCATTTGAACAGAGAGAGAGAGAGTGAGAAGGCAAGTTGTCAGGTCCAGGATTTGAACCAAGGTCAGCCATGTGGGAGTCCAGCACCTTAACCACCATGCCACCTGCTGGCCCCACCACTGATCTTTTTCATTGTCTCCGTAGCATTGCCTTTTGCAGAATGTTTTCTAATTGGATTCATACAGTATATAGCCTTTTCAGGCTGGCTTCTTTGACTTTGGGATAGGCATTTAAGTTTCCTCCATGTCTTTTCTTAGCTTCATTTCTTTTTTATTTATTTTATTTTAGTTTTTGCTAGAGGGCACATATTTTCACCAAATAGAAACAGGGAGAGGAGAAAGCACCTCCTTGGGGAGTGGTCACTGCACAGTCCCTTCTCTTCCATCTCTCCTTAAGCTATTTTGGGCACACATGCATATGTGCCTGGTGTGTTTCTCATGCTGGACTGGGCCCTGGACTAAATGATGCAGCTGGCTATATGGGATCCAGCTGCCTTAACCACTAGGCCACAGAGCCAGCTTCTAACTCATTTCTTTTTAGCACCAAATATTTCATTTATTGGATATGTCAGTTTATCTATTCACTTCTTTTTTTTCTTTCTCTTTATTTGGAGAGGCTTTTGCTATAGGTTGTGTGCGTGTGCCAGAAAGACACAGAGAGACAGAGAGACAGAAAGTGAGAAATCATCTCCTGGGGTGGTGGCCACACCACAATCCCTTTTCCTCCATTCTCCTCTCAGGATCTTGGGCACACACGCATACGCGCCCAATGTGAATTTAAGCCGCTGGGTCTGCGACTCGAACTGCGGTCGACTACATGGGAGTCCAGCGACATTGCCATTACGCTAACTGCTGGTCTCTCCATTCACCTCTTGAAGAACATTTGGTTGCTTCCAAGTTTTGGCAGTTATGAATAAAGTTGTTGTAGACATAAGCATATAGGTTTGGGTATGGACTTAAGTTTTCAACTTTTTGGGTGAATATCAGGGACCCACGATACGGTAAGAGTGTGTTTAGTTTTGTAAGAAACCACCAAACTTTTCTTCTGAAGTGGTTATATTGTTCTATAGTGAATGAGAGTTCCTGTTGCTTCACATCCTTGCCAGTGTTTGGTGTGCAGTGTTCTGGGTTTTGGCTATTTTGAGAGGTGGCAATTAAAAGAACAACAAAATACACACAAAAAGGAAAGTACTCTGCCATTTGCCATAGTGTGGGTAGACCTGAGGACATCATGCCAAGTGAAATAAGACAGACATTGAAAGGACAATATTACATGAGCTGACTTAAATGTGGAATATTAAAAAACAAAACTCGGGACCAACAGATAGCTTAATGTATGTTGCTGGATTCCCACACACATAGTCAACTGTGGTTCAAGTCCTGGACCCATCAACTTAAAACTCATGTTGGGTACATGTGCGTGCATGCCCAAAATCTCGAGAGGAGAATGGAGGAGAAGGGATTGTAGCAGGATCATCCCTCTGGGGTGGGGGGGTAATTTCTTGCTTTCTGTCTCTGTCTCTGCCAAGCGCATGTGCCCTTCAGCACACATCTTGGAGACCCCTAGAAAATTCCAGTATACCCTCTTGAAAAAAATAAGAGTAAAAAAAAAGCCATTAAAATAATTTTGCCCTCACAGATCCCCCCTGAACAGGGGATTCCTCAACCATATTTTGAAAACAACTACTTTAGGTCAAACTGGCCACCATCTGGACATACTTTTTAAGTGAATATTCAGTGCCTAAATGTTACTTTCTTAGAAACATGACTAAGAGGAAGAAGTTTGTATACCATTTCTTTTGACAAGATGGAATTTTTTATCTATTTGTTTTTTTAAGGAACTTGGTAAAACCCTAGTTGACTTTTAGGTATTCCTTTAGAAAGGGAACTAAAACATTAAAAAAAAAAAAGACTTTCCAAGGTATACGTGGTTTTCTTTGCAGAGTAATTATACTTTACTCAAATAAGTGCTCTTTTTCCTTCCAGATCTAGCTGAAAGTCCTTTAGGAGGTATTTCTGATTGCTTCCATATTTTGTGATACTTTTTCTCTGACTCCATAGCACTTTTTGTTGGCCTTTGGGTTCTGTCTTTCATATCTTACATTATTAATTTCTTAATTTTGTCCTTTACGTTAGCTAGAGACTCTGAGACAAGGGACTTTATTCTTTATTCCAAGCACTGCAGTTCAGATTGCTACCAATGTGTTAGTAGACTGGGCCATGATGAGTTAGATTTCTAAAATGTCCATTATATAGCTGGTATAACTAACTGTCTCCCTCACCTATATTCCACAAGACTTTGTTTTTTCTTTGCTAACACAAGTAAAATCATCTGATTCAGATTGATAAGGTATGGGTTTTTCCTTCCCTTTAATGTAACCAATGATGCATTCTAATGATATAATAGTCACCATTAAGTTAGAATTACATCTAGTATTTTCTTTTTCTTTTTCTTTTTTTTTTGGAGAAGTTTTAGCTATAGGGCGTGTGTGCTCGCCAGCCAGACAGAGACACAGAAAGCGAGAAATCACCCCCAGGGGGGATGGCCACACTGCAGTCCCTTCTCCTACATTCTCCTCTTGGGATCTTGGGCACACACACACACACGCTCCACGGTCGACTACGTGGGAGTCCAGTGACATAGCCATTACACTAACTGCTGGTCCCAAGTATTTTATTTTTCTAGCTGGCAATGGTGCAGTGACTAAGAGTGCTAGACTCCAACATGGCCAGCTGTGGGTTCAAGTCCTGGAACTTTCTTCCTCTCTCTTTCTCTCTGTCTCACTCTGTCCATCTCTGGTCAAATAAAAATAAATGAATAAAGCTAAAGAAAATACATCTTTAAAAAAAAGAATTACATCTAGTATTTTTTTCCCTGTTAAATGCTAGTTAGAAGCTTAGTGTAAAATTTGGGAACCAGCAGTTAGCGTAATGGCTATGTCGCTGGACTCCCACATAGTCGACCGCGGTTCGCGTCCCGGACCCGGTGGCTTAAAACTTACGCCGGGCGCGTGTGCGTGCGTGCCCAAGATCCCGAGAGGAGAGTGGAGGAGAAGGGATTGCTGCGTGACCATCCCCCCTGGGGGGTGATTTCTCGCTTTCTGTCTCTATGTCTCTCTCTGTCTGTCTGGCGAGCGCACGCGCCCTACAATGAAAATCTCTCAAAAAAAAAAAAAAAAAAAAAAAGCTTAGTGTAAAATTTAAAAAACAATCAAAATGTTAAAAAAAAAAAATAGGAAATAAGGAACCAGCAGGTGGCATGGTGGTTAAGGCATGGGACACTCCCACGTGGGAGTCTCTCTCTCTGTCTTGCTCTGGCCAAATTGAAAATAACAATAATGAGGTGGTGTAGTTAAGGGTGCTGGACTTCCATATGGCTGATCGTGGCTCTAGTCCTAGATCTGGTGGCTTGCTTTCTCACTATGTCTTTCTCTTCTCTCTCACTCACTCTCTCGCTCTGTCCCTGTCTGGTCAAATTAAAATAAATAAATTAATTAATTAAATTAAATAATTATTTTTTTAAAAAGAAATAATGATAAATAAAATGAAATAATTCTTTTAAAAATAAATGAATGAATAAAATTAAATAATGCTTAAAAATAGGAAATAAAAAGGTTGGGCACAAAAAAATGCTTTGTGTGTGTGTGTGTGTGTGTGTATATTTAAAAGAACTGTTTTATTTACTTATTATTATTATTCAATTTGTTGGCAGAAAGAGAGAGAAGAGAGTGAAAAACTAAGCCACCAGATCCAGGACTTGAACTATAGTTGGCCATGTAGGAGTCCATCACCTTAACCACCACGCCACCTGCTGTCTCCAAAAGCTTAGTATATAAAAAGTTAAGGGTTTTTTTTTTAGAATTAATTAATTTTATTTTCAGTTTGAGCTGAGAGAGAAAGAGAGTGAGAAAGCAAGCCACCATGTCGGGAATCAAACCATAGTTGACCACATGGCAGTCCAGGGCCTTAACCACCATGCCACCTGCCAGCCCCAGAAGTTAATTTTTTTAAGTGTGACAACTTAAGGGAATTTATAGTATTGTTCGGTTATTGAATCTCGTAAGGGTTGGCCAAGAACTTAAATGCATTATCTACTTTCTCCTCAACTGAGAGATCTGACAGTTTTGTTGTGCTTTAGAGACATGCTAACACAATTTTGCTATTATCTTTGTAGCCGTGGATTTCTTCAACCAGATCAATATGTTATATGGAACTATTACAGAATTCTGCACTGAGGCAAGCTGTTCAGTCATGTCTGCAGGTCCAAGGTACATATACTACCTATCATTTAGGTTTTTGGATTACTTTTGCTTTATCACTAATTTATATAAATGAAATAAAAAGACTCTTTGCTTTTTTGGGTTTTGTTTGTTTGTTTGCCTTAAGGTGTATGCACTCACCAAAGAGAGACAGAGACAGTGATAGGAAGAGTAAGAAATGCCCAGGGGAATATAGCCATGCCACACTATATTCTCCTCCCAGGATCTTGGGCATGCATGCACATGTGCCTGGTGTGATTTTGAAGCCACCAGGTCTAGGACTCGAACTGTAGTTGACAGTGTTGGAGTCCAGCAGCATAATTGCTAGCCATCTACTGACATGACCTTTTTTTTATTATCGACTTGTATAAAGATGCTTCAATTAAATTTTATTAGTTTGTGAATACTCATCTTTAAGCTTTTATTATTAAATAAATATTTATTTAATGTTTATTACTTTGATATGTGGGTACTTAGTATTTGATTTCTATATTGCATCACAGTATTTCTAAATGTTCTATTTTAGGAGTAAAAGTATAGAAATTTGAGCTATGTTTAATCTCTCGTTGCAGAAATTCAATTTCATTAATGTTTGTGTTTCCTTTTTCTAGTTTTTAAGTGAATTTATTGAAAAAGTTTTTAGTGGTCTTTCCATATTTTATTTTTGGGTGTGCACTTATTTATTATTAAGTAAAGCTGTATAATTTAGAAGTAATTATCTGGCTTAAAGATGCCAGGTTTAAGAAAAATTTATTTTTAAAGATATTTACTATAGGTCATGTGTGCTCCCTGGAGAGAGGCAGAGAGACAGAGGCAAAGTGAGAAATCACTCCTTGGAGGTTGGGTATAGCCACACCACAATCCCTTCTCTTCCTGGGGTTTTGGACATACATGTTCCCAGCATGATTTTCAAGCTACCAGGTCTGGAACTCAAACCCAACTGGCCATGTGAGAGTCCAGTGCCTTAACCACTACACCACCTGCTAGCCCACTATATTAAAAAATTTTAAACCGGAGGCTGGCAGGTGACATGGTGGTTAAGAGGGGTGGACTACCACATGGCCGACCGCAATTTGACACAGTTGCTTGCTCTCTCTTCCTCTCTCTCTCTCACTCTGTCCCTCTCTAGTCAAATTAAAATAAATCAACAAATAAATAAATAGAAGTTCAGTAAAATAATTATTTAAAAAAAATTTTTTTTTGAGAGGTTTTTGCTATAGGGCGACAGAAAGTGAAAAATCACGCCTCCAGCGGGGATGGCCACACCACAATCCCTTCTCCTCCATTCTCCTCTCGGGATCTTGGGCACGCATTCACATGTGCCCGGCGTGAGTTTAAGCCACCATGTCCAGGACTCGAACTGCAGTCAACTACATGGGTGTCCAGTGACATAGCCATTATGCTAACTACTGGTCCCTACAAAAATGTTTTTTAACTAGTAAATTTTAAGAAATATTTTTTAAAGTTTGGAATTTTTAATAACGCATAATGTTAAGTCAGTATATAATGGAATCAATATTTTGGCATGTTTTCTTTGCTCATTTTTTCCTATAATTAGTGACTGATTATATGTGGTGATAGAAGGTATCAAGATGTTTGCCTCTTAGAAAAGATTGCCCTTCCTGACTTTGCTACAAATGTAAAGGAAAAAAAGATCCTTAATGATTTTACAGTCTTATTTATTTATTTATATATTTTAGAGGTTTTTTTTTTTTTTTTTTGCTACAGAGTGCATATGCTCTTTGGAGAGGCAGAGAGACAGAAAGCGAGAAATTTTCCCCCAAGAAGGATGGTCATGCCACAGTCCCTTCTCACTCTCCTTGTGGGATTTTGGTCATACACGCACATGCGCCAGGTATCAGTTTCAAGCCTCTGGTTCTAGGACTTGAACTGTGGTCAGCCATGTGAGAGTAGAGCAAAGTAACCATTATGCCATCTGCTGGTCCCAAGTCTATAGTATGTATGTATGTATGTATTTAAAGAGAGAGAGATTTTTGCTGTAAGACATGTGCACTCACTGGAGAGACAGAAAGCGAGAAATCACTCCCCATTGGGGATAGCCACGCTGCAGTCTGTTCTCCAGACTCCTCGGAGTTTTAGGCAGGAACACCTATGCACCTGGCATGAGTTTTAAACCACTAGATCTGGGACTCAAACCACAGTCTACTACATGGGAGGTCAGCAAGATAAGCATTATGCCATCTACTCCCCCTCTTTTTTTCCCTAAAGAATTACTTGTTTGTTTTTTTTTTTTTTTTCTTTTCTTGGAGAGGTTTTTGCTACACATGCGGTTACCAGAAAGACAGAGAGAGACAGAAAGCCATAAATCACCTCCCAGGGAGGATGTTCACGCTGCACTCCCTTCTTCTCCATTCTCCTCTTGGGATCTTGGGCACACATGTATATGTTCCCGGCATGAGTTTAAGCCACGGGACTCAAATCGTGGTCACCTTCATGGGAGTCCAGCGACATAGCCATTACAATGCCAACTGCTGGTCCCTGTTGTTTATTTTTTAAAATCTGCTATAGGGCATGTGTGCTTACAGGGTTGGGGGGTGGGGGAGAAAGAGAGAAAAAAAGAAAGCCGCCAGGTTCAGGACTCGAACTGCAGTTGGCTATGTGTGAGCCCAGTGCCTTAACCACCATGCCACCTCCTGGTCCTGTTTTAGTCCTCTTTAAAAGAGGTTAAAATAAAAAAGGAAAATGAAACTTAATCTATGGCTTAAATGCTTTTACACAGTGAAATTTTACATACATTTTTGTTAATCTGCCTCAGTAAAAAGGAAGGGGTAAGACATGCATCCTAAGGATATTTATGTAGCACTTTCTCTAAGACAGGGTTTTGTAATCTTGGTTCCACTGGAGCTGATAACTTGCTGGCCAGGGAGTTCAGAATGCTGTGGGGTTTGCAATTCTTTTCCCAGTCCTCAACACCCTGTACTTACGGACAAGGAATTTAATTATTTTACTTTTCCCAGGCCTGTGTTATCAAACATCCATTCCAGTATGCCAGCTGTCTTGTTATCTGTTTTTTTCTTGCAGTTATAACCATCCCATTTCAGAATAATTCTAGAGGGAACTCACAGTAATCTTTAGTAAAACTCTATGTACCTTATAAAGTTGTATATAAATTCTGTTGACTGAATAAAAACCTGCTCTCATTAGAAATTGCACACTTGTTAATGTTTTTGAAAACTTTTATCTATAAATTTTTTTTCCAGATACGAATATCATTGGGCAGATGGTACTAATATTAAAAAGCCAATCAAATGTTCTGCACCAAAATACATTGATTATCTGATGACTTGGGTTCAGGATCAGCTTGATGATGAGACTCTCTTTCCTTCTAAGATTGGTGAGTTAAAGTTGTAGAACTGTTTTTCTTTTTCAGTGATAATTTATTTTTGTTTAGAGATTTTTTACTATAGGGCATGTGCACTTGCCAGAGAAACAAAAAGCAAGAAATCATCCCTTGGCGGGGGAGCCCACACCACAATCCCTTCTCCATTCTCCTCTTGGGATTTTGGGTACACATGCATGCACGCATACATGCCCGGTTTGAATTTTTTTTTGTTTGTTTGGGGGTTTTTTTGAGAGGTTTTTGCTATAGGGTACATGTGCTCCCCGGAAAGACAAAGAAAGAGACAGAAAGTGAGAAATCACCCCTGGGGGGGATGGCCACACTGCAATCCCTTCTCCTCCATTCTCTCGGGATCTTGGGCACGCATGCACACATGCCCGGCATGAGTTTAAGCCACTGGGTCTGGGTCTTGAACAGCTGTCGGCTACATGGGAATCCAGCGGCATAGCCATTGCACCAACTGCTGGTCCCCTGGTTTGATGTTTAAGCCACCGGATCAAGGGCTTGAACCAAGGTCAACTACATGGGAGTCCAGCGACATAATCATTATGCTATCTGTTGGTCTCCCCCCGCTTTTTTTTAAACGTTACTTTTAAAAAATTGACTGTCAAAATCTTCTCCAAAAAGTTTGTACTTGTGTGTACTCCCCATACAGCCGTGCTTGTTTCTGCCTGTGCTGAACCAAAACTGGTTAACACTCATTTTTTTTTTTTTTAATTTTGCCAGAGGGTTCACTCACATGGAAAGTGAGAAAGCACCCCATGTTAGGGAACGGTCACACCATACTCTTCCATTTCCTCTTCAGAATTTGAGGCACGATGTGGTGTGTTTCTCACATACAAAGCCACTGGATCTGGGATACATGCTGTTTAATTGGCGGGATCTAGCCACCTTAAGTACCATGCCACAGGCTGGCCCAGTACTCACATTTTTATTTTTTCTAGCTTGGTAAATTCCCTTGTAATATTCAGCTGAAAAATACTGATGAGATTGGACATTTTTTGATTTATTGATTATTGTTTGCTTTGTGTTTGTACCCTTTGCCCATTTTAGGATGTTCACTTTTTATCTTGTATTTATATTTTTTTCCCAGGTTGTCTTTTGTCTTATTTGGTTCCTAGGATATTTGTGTTATATATCAGTATGGTATTTTTTCCTATTAATTGTTACCTTGATGACTCAGTAGTTGTGTTTTTTTTTTTTTTTTTTTTTTTTTAGAGATTTTTGCTATAGGACATGCTATTCCCTGGAGAGACAGAAAGCAACAATGTAACCATTATGCAATCTGCTGGTCCTGATGACTCAAGTTTTTAATACAATGAACACAAAGGTTCCTATTTTGGGATCAGCAGTTAGCATAATGGCTATGTTGCTGAACTTAATGGCTGTGTTGCTGAACTTAATGACTATATTGCTGAACTTTCATGTGTTCCACTGCGGTTCAAGTCCCAGACCGGTGGCTTAAACTCATGCCGGGCGCATGTGCATGCATGCCCAAGATCCCGAGGAGAGTGGAGGAGAAGGGACTGCGGTGTAGCCATCCCCTCTGGGGGGTGTTTTCTCGCTTTCTGTCTCTCTATCTCCTATCTCTCTCTGTCTTTCTGACGAGTGCACATGCCCTATCACAAAAACCTCTCAAAAATAAAAAAGGTTCCTATTTCAAGATAATAAAAATACAAGAACAATTGCATTACTTTATTTTTGTAAACCTCTCCATAGGAAAAAAAAAAAAGGTTCCTATTTCAAGATAATAAAAATACAAGAAAAATTGCATTACTTTTTGTTGTTGTTGTTGAGAGATTTTTTCTATAGGGCTTGTGTGCTTGCTGGAGAGACAGAGAGATGCAGAAAGTGAGAAATTATGCCACAGGGGAGCTGGTCATGATGCAGTCCCTTCTCTTCCATTCTTCTCTCGGGATTTTGGGCATACACACACATGGACCTGGCATAAGTTTTACATCACCGGGTCCAGGATTTGAACCACAGTCGACTATGTAGGAGTCCAATGACATCACCATTATTGCCATCTGCTCGTCCCCTAAATTACTTTTTTTCTTTTTTTTTTTCCGTAGAGGATTTTGCTATAGGGCGCGTGCGCTCACCAGACAGACAGAGAGAGACAGAGAGACAGAAAGCGAGAAATCACCCCCCCAGGGGGGATGGCCACGCCGCAATCCCTTCTCCTCCATTCTCCTTTCGGGATCTTGGGCACGCATGCACACATGCCCGGCGTGAGTTTAAGCCACCGGGTTCGGGACACGAACCGCGGTCGATTACGTGGGAGTCCAGCGACATAGCCATTACGCTAACTGCTGGTCCCTCCCCTAAATTACATTTTAAAACAATAAACCAGAAAGTTGAGACATCTATTTTCAGAAGAAAGCTTTGGCTTTTGAGAGTAATTTAGAAGATAAACTTCTTTATATGTGTAGATTATAGTGACTCACAGTGCCTGTTTTGTTTTTGTTTTTTTTTTTTTTGCTTAGGAGTTTCAAGTCTTAATTTTGTGTATGTGAATGAGTTTAAGAGTTATATATACTGGGACCAGCAGTTAGTGTAATGGCTATGTCGCTGGACTCCCATGTAGTCAACTGTGGTTTGAGTCCTGGACCTGGCAGCTTAAACTCACACTGGGTGCGTGTGCATCATGCCTAAGATCCAGAGAGGAGAATGGAGGAGCAGAGATTGTCGCATGGCCATCCCCCCAGGGGGTGATTTCTCACTTTCTGTCTCTGTCTATCTCTTTGCACCCTATATAGCAAAAACCTCTCAAAAAAAAAAAAAAAAAAAAAAAAGAGAGATCTCTTTGTTATATATACAAAAAGTAAAAATTTTCTATTTATACTCAAAATAGTTACTCTTGTTAGATTTTAGAAATAATTTTTTTTTCTTTTTTGCTATATGGCACATTTGCCCACCAGAGAAAGAGAGGGGGAGAGGAGAATGTCCCCTCCATGAAGAATGATCATACCATAGTGCCTTTTCCTCTGTTTCTCCTTACTTTAGGTATTTAGGGAATGCACACACATTTGCCAGTGTGGTTCTCAAGCCTGTGGGTCTGGGCCTCGAACTACGGAGCTGGCTGTGTGGGATCTGACTCCCTTAATCATCCTGCCATAGAGTCAGTCCAGGAAGAAACTATTATTAAACAACTAAAAAATTAAGTTTATTTGAATTTGATTCAGCAGCATTTTATATAATTTGATGATTATGCCTAATATTCCAGGTCAGCTAGGAAAAGTGTGGTATGTGAGGATATACTTAGGTTTGGGTTCTTTCCCTTTGCCTTTTAAAAAATATACAGAAATAGGTATGTGTGTATTTGTCAATGTGTGTGTTTATGTATTACAGTTACTCATGGCAGCGTCTCAAATTTTCTGCTGTTGAGTTAGATAAAAGACTAATTGCTAAAAATATATATTTGATTGCAGGGGTCCCATTTCCCAAAAACTTTATGTCTGTGGCAAAGACCATCCTAAAGCGTCTGTTCAGGGTTTACGCCCACATTTATCACCAGCACTTTGATTCTGTGATGCAGCTGCAAGAAGAGGCCCACCTCAACACCTCCTTTAAGCACTTTATTTTCTTTGTTCAGGTAAGTTGAACCTTGCTGTAGGGTTAGATCTCACAGGTTAACAGCTCAGTCCTACAAGAACCCCCCCCCCTTCAAGCCAGTCTAAGGTCGTAGGTTGTCACCAATACTGCTGACTGAGAGGCTAATTAAGGTTCCCATGACCTTTTCCTTGGGTTCAGTTAAATTGCTAGAACAGTGCCAGCTCCATGGTTCAGTGGTACAGCCCTGCTCTAGAGGAGCTGGGTCCCACATGGCGACTGCAGTTGGAATCCCAGCTTGATCAGCCTAAAACCTGCGGGACATGTGCTAGTACCCAGATCCCACAGGCTGGAGAACTAGGGGAAGGGGATCAGAGTTAACCAGACCCCATGAAGGGTGCTTCTCCCTCCCTCTCCTTTCCATGCTGTACGTGTTCTATGTTGAAAAAAAATGTTTAATTGCTTGAACAACTCACAGAACTCAGAAACACATTTACTGGTTTGTTGCCTTTTTCTTTTTCTTTCCTTTTTTTAAAAAAATTGTTGTTTATTTTCCTTATTTTTCCTTGTTTCCACTTTTTGTAAGAGTCTGTGAAGAGCAGACTTAAGACCACTCAGTGGTTGTTCCCACCCATTCAGTGGCCTGAGCAGTGGGGGCTACAGACCAGTCTTCGGTGGCAGGCTGAGCACTCCAGTCTTCAGTAGGAAACTGCTGGATGGGCACAGAGCGCACCTGCACGCCTTCAGACCAGTCTGCGACCTCAGGCTGAGTAGCAGTAAACTCAGGAGCTGGAGCAGTCCATTCACCCTGAAATTCCTCCTTGGTCACAGCGTTTTCAGCTGCAGCCTGCTCCTCCTTTTCAGTCTCTTCAGGATCTCTGTAGAAGTAGAGATCAGGCATGACCTCCCACGGGTGTTCACGGGAAATGGTGCCACGCATGCGCAGCAGTTCCCTGAGAGCTCATGCACTTGTCAGAGGGAATGGTCACTCTGTAGTGCCTTCTTTATCTCTCCCTTCTTTTGGGAGTTTAGGCATGCACACACATGCACCTAGAGTGTTTCTCAAGCTGCTGGATCCAGGGCTTTAACTGTACAGTCTGCCAGGTGAGATCTAGCTGCCTTAACTACCAGGCTACTGAGCTGGCCCATGTACTGGTTCACTGTAAAGGATATTGCAAAGGATACAGATGAACAGCCAGATGGAAGAAATGCACTGGGTGGGACCAGCAGTTAGCGTAATGGCTATGTCGCTGGACTCCCACGTAGTTGACCGCGGTTTGAGTCCCAGACCCGGTGGCTTAAAACTCAACGCTGGGCACGTGTGCATGCATGCCCAAGATCCCGAGAGGAGAATGGAGGAGAAGGGATTGCAGCATGGCCATCTCCCCTGGGGGGTGATTTCTTGCTTTCTGTCTGTCTCTGTCTGTCTGGCAAGTGCACGTGCCCTATAGCAAAAACCTCTCCAAAAAAAAAAAAAGAAATGCACAGGGTGAGGTATGGAAGAAAGTGGAACTTCCATGCCCTCTCAGGCTCGCCTTTCTCCAGAAACTTCCACATGTTCAGCTATTCAGACATTCTCTGAAATCTTTCCTTTTGGGTTTTTATGGAGGCTTCACTAAACAACCACAGTTTGACTACATCATTGGCCATTGGTAGTCAGCTCACCCTTCAGCTTATCTCCCCTCCCCAGAGGTTGAGACTTAGGGTCAAATGTCCCAACCCTTTCGCCATCCTTGATCTTCCCAGTGATGACCCTCCATCCAGAAGCTGTCCAGGGACCCCAGCCACCAGCCATCTCATTATCATGCAAAAGACACTCATTGGAGATTCCAAGGATTTTAGGAACTGTATGTCAAGAAATAGGGACAACGACCAAATGCAGTCAGGAATAAGTTTGATTTCAGTTTGGTCGATTTAGATTTGCCACTTGTGTGAACATTATTAGAGTCTACTTGCACAAACCTGGATAGTGTGTCCTACTACACACCGAGGCTGTCTGCTGTAATCTTACAAAACCACCATCGCATATGCAGGCTGTCCTTGACCAAACTGTCATTCTGTAGTGTCTAACTGTGTCTATCTCATAATTTCTCTCTCTCATACACACACACATCCCCATGTATTTTTTATTACCAAAGGGCACATACACTCACCAGAAAGAAAGTTCTCCCTAACAGGATGTGGTCACACTGCAATCCCTTTTCTCCTTTTCTTTTTCCCATCAGGATTTTGAGCATATATGCACATGGTACCCCTCATGTTTCTCAAGCTGAGAGGGGCTGGGTTTCAAACTGTGGGATCCAGCTCCCACTGCATAGCAGCTTAACTACTGCACTAAAGGGCTGCCCTACACTTTTTAAATGAGTCAAAACAATCCTGTTTTAAAATATTTAGAGATTTTTTTTAAATCATCCTATTGGATTTCAGAAAACTAGGATTGGAAATCCCTTCTCTAAAACACATTTAAATTAAAGAGTTGTAATTTTAGGAGCCAGCAGGTGGCATAGTTGTTTAGGCACTGGACTTCCACATGGGCAACCATAGTTTGAGCCCAGGACCTGGTGGCTTGCTTTCTCACTTGCTACCACCCCTCCTACCCCCTGTCTGTTTCTCTCTGGTGAGCATGTGTGCCCTATGGCAAATTTAAAAAATAATAAATAAAATTAAATAATTCTAAAAAGAAAGAAAGAGTTGCAACTTTAGATTTATTTTGAAGTTTTCTTTTTGTCTTTTTAGGAGTTTAATCTGATTGACAGACGTGAGTTGGCACCTCTTCAGGAATTAATTGAGAAGCTTGGATCAAAAGACAGATAAATGTTTCTTCTAGAACACAGTAACCCTCTTGCTTCATCTACTGCTAAAGTTATTTCATTGCTATCTGATAGACTAGTGATACGGACTTTAAGAAAACAGGATAAAAAGACACCGATACCTGTGTCTACTGATAAAATTGTCCCAAAGGTAGGTTCACCAAAAAGCTGCAGAGTGAGACCTTAAGGACACAGCCAAATCTGAGGTACTACTGTGTGACCACTCCTGTTACTGTCAGAGACATACTTGGTTGTAATACGTGATGACTAACCTGTAGCTTATTAGTTTACTTATTATTCTTTTACTCAAGAAAATGATTGAGTCTGTTTCAGGTGATAGCATAGTGGATCTTAAGAATTAAGTTTCCAGAACAAATTTCCTAACAACACAGATTGGTTTTTTTCTACTTTTATTTTACAAATAAAAAAAGTATTTGTAAGTTTCCTTAAGATAGAGAATATTGGTCTCACTTTAGAGAACCTTCTAGTTTCAAGTTCGTATGCTAGTGTTTTTATAGTTAACATATGTATATTTTTTCAAAATCCATGATTGCAGTACAAATCATCATATGGCATATGTGGAATGGGAGTAACCAAAGTTATTTTAAAAGTGACTTTATTATTTTTTTTTATCTTTATTTGGGATTTGTATTCACATCTATCTAAATTATTAGTGTATCAGAAATGATTTTTTTTCAGCTTTTAAGGATGGTCTTGTAGATTTTTATTTTGAATGTTTCAGTGAGATGAATTTAATGTGTAGCTTTTGGCTCAGAAAGAAAAAACTTGCCCCAAATTATGGCAAATATAGGTCTCAAAGCCACTATTTTCATTCTCATTGTTTTTTAGAGGCTTGGGCATTCTGGATAAGAGAACGGGAAAAAGTACTCTAAGTACTTCATTTGTTGTTGTGGTTGTTTGCCATAGGGTATGTGTGCTCATCAGAGGGAGAGAGAGACACAGAAGGAAAATGAGAACTCACCCCCCACGGCAGATGGCCACACTGCAATCCCTTCTCCTCCATTCTTCTTGGGATTTTTTTTTGGGTCCATATACACATACACCCAGCATGATTTTCAAGCTGCTGGGTCTGGGACTCGAACTATGGTGGGCCATGTGGGAATCTAGCACCTTACCCACCATGCCACCTGCTGGCCTCATTTTGTGTAGCAATTCATGAACTTTATCCTAGTAAGGATAAATCTTAAGGAAACCACAATAAAAACCTTGAAGATGTACACATTTTAAATCTAGCTAAAGGTTTGGTGTGCTACCTATTCTTTAGAGAGGTGTGTGTTTTTTAATGGAGACAACATGGGAAGAATAAGTTTTTAAAAACTTCCTTTATTCTGTTAATAGTGAAAGGATAGATTGAGCCCCTATAGGGGTTATATCCTATTTTGTTTTTCTTTCAAAACTTGAAATTGTTTCTATTGGGATAAAAGAAACCTCCTTTAGTGAAGAAAAAAACAATTTTCACTTGGTTCCTAGGATTTAGTAAACTCTAGCTGACTGTTTAAAATGTATTGAGAACGCAGCAAATAACACTTGAAGACTTGGCAGCCTTTATTTTTATTTTTCCACTAGACTATGGAAAAAGTACTCTAAGTACTTCATTTGTTGTTGTGGTTGTTTGCCATAGGGTATGTGTGCTCATCAGAGGGAGAGAGAGACACAGAAGGAAAATGAGAACTCACCCCCCACGGCAGATGGCCACACTGCAATCCCTTCTCCTCCATTCTTCTTGGGATTTTTTTTTGGGTCCATATACACATACACCCAGCATGATTTTCAAGCTGCTGGGTCTGGGACTCGAACTATGGTGGGCCATGTGGGAATCTAGCACCTTACCCACCATGCCACCTGCTGGCCTCATTTTGTGTAGCAATTCATGAACTTTATCCTAGTAAGGATAAATCTTAAGGAAACCACAATAAAAACCTTGAAGATGTACACATTTTAAATCTAGCTAAAGGTTTGGTGTGCTACCTATTCTTTAGAGAGGTGTGTGTTTTTTAATGGAGACAACATGGGAAGAATAAGTTTTTAAAAACTTCCTTTATTCTGTTAATAGTGAAAGGATAGATTGAGCCCCCATAGGGGTTATATCCTATTTTGTTTTTCTTTCAAAACTTGAAATTGTTTCTATTGGGATAAAAGAAACCTCCTTTAGTGAAGAAAAAAACAATTTTCACTTGGTTCCTAGGATTTAGTAAACTCTAGCTGACTGTTTAAAATGTATTGAGAACGCAGCAAATAACACTTGAAGACTTGGCAGCCTTTATTTTTATTTTTCCACTAGACTATAAAGGAAAGACTTGCTTAGAAACTCCATTCAATTGAATTTCAATAAGTTCTTAAATATATATATGTATATAGTTTCAAAGGAAATATAAGCATTTCATCTAATTTGGGCTGAAACCACACTTGCCTTTTGAGGAACTGAAGAATAGGATTATCACTTAGGAGGGAATGAGAAAAGCCCTCTATGAAGCCTTCCATGGTCCACCTAAAGCTTTTCCAGAGGTCCAGTTGGCAGCCATTCTGTGTGTTTACTTTGATCTTTCATGAGGAGGAAAGCAGGTTTCTGGATGTCATGTAGAATGTAACTGCCTCTTAACTTTAAACTCTGTTGACTTGAATTTTTTAAGTCCACAAGGCATGAGGTTATGTTTCTCAAACAGGGTTGTACTTTCACCATCATTTCTACTATTTCAGGTATTCTCAACAAAAGGGTTCTCACATAAGACCAAAAAATAAAAACCAAGTCTCAATTTTCTCCATTTATTTTTTGGGATAGAAATCCTCCCTTTCTTCAGGAGTAAGCCCCCAAATGAACCAAAGATGGTCACTTAATAGGAGAATAGTAGTAAAAGTAGCTTATTAATAAGATAGAAATAAAAAATTCATTAGTTACTTTGAGACTCAGAATGTCTTATTCTTTAAAATATAAAAACATTACCAGTTTCCTAGGCCAAGCTGGCTTAACCAGCAGTACATCTAAACATTCATGCTAATATTTGTTGATTTCCAAGGCCAGTCAAGGACAGGAAGAGAACTAGAGGAAGTGGGGAGAATGGGAAGAGGAGGGTACCTTCCTGGTGTGGCAAGAGGGCCAGCCTCTGATAAGAGGTTGAAGAAATTGGCCTGCCTTTGGCTCCTCCTCTCATTTTGCATTACCTCCCCATGCCCAGGTCTGCTGATCCTCTCCCTACCCTCCTCCTCTAGTATCCAGTCTCTGCTCTTCACACCTGATTACAGTCCTGGGGTGGAGCGTGCATGCTAAATTATGCGGTTAACCTTATGGTGCTTTACCTTTGAGGCCTTCTAAAAAAACTTGGACAGCAATGTGCACATTTTTACTTAAATATTCAGACTTCTTATCCTGTAGATTGTATTGACAGCCAAATGTATCTCCTATTCCTCAGATTGTGAATAAAGTGATTTTATAGGGTTGGCAGCTAACAAACTATTTCCTTCCATCTTAGACGTGACATACAGAGCCCTAGCTCATGTAGCTGCTTACTTGAAAAATGCAAATCTGTGTTCACTATTACTTTGATAACAAAGGTAACATTTTCTACTAGCATGGAGGCAAGAGGAACAATCCTGGTGGTATTACCATTTGCAGGCATTGCTCGAGGTGTCCTGTATCCTGTTGGCCTCTCTGAGCACTGAGGTCATACTAGAAGTACAGCTTCTCAAACATCACATTACCTCATAAGCATAAACAAATCGGGCCCAAAGACAGGAAGTCCTAGAAATTTGTTACTGAGCACCATCAACAGGCATGTTCTTTCCTCCTGAGATCAGTTCAGTAGATTGATTTCTGCTACTGTAGAATTTTGGCAAAGAATGAAACTAGTAGTCCTTTGGTCTTCTTTTTACATTCAATTTTGATACTCCAATTGTTAAAAGGCTTTGGTGGAAGATTCTACATGTGGTAGCAGTAATTCTACAAAGTGACTGCGTCGAAATTCATTTGGGTTTTCTTTCATGAGATTCTGTTCCAAACAAGTATTTTGTAAATCCAAATGGATTACCAGTGTGTTCTAGCCTTATAGAACAACCTTCTGTGTTTGGTCTACATTGAAAATAGTTGGCATAAGTTAGCTTTGGTTACCATCTAAGATATTTTAAAATGTTCTTTACATAAAAGTTTATGTTGTATTTTTAAACCTTTAGGGGCTTTATCTATTTTTCTAAGTCAGTTAACTACTTTTAAAAAAAGTATTTTGTATCTACTTTTGTAACTTCATCAAAATAAAATATATTGAAAGCAAGAAATGACTGATTAAAGTATGTCTCAACACATCTCTATTTAAATATGGATTCTTGAGGTTTTTGCTGATTCTGTAGATTTTGAGTACTGTTTAAATTTGGAGGTTATCTTTCCATATTATATAGTATCTCAAATGTTTTCTTAGCCATTGAAGAGAAGGAAGTTCCTAAATGAACTAGATATTTTATAGTACCAGGAGCCCACCACCAAGAAACAAACTGTCCCTCAGTTTAATAGTGGCTGAAGCCCACCCCATACAGAAATACGGAGTCTCCTTCCTACCACGCTTGCCGAGCTCTGGCCCTCTTTGTACATTCCTG